TGAGGGGGCATGCTCGTTTCAGTCTGGAAGTCACCATCTGGCCACTCATCTCTGAGCAGGACAGGGATTAGGTGACATGTATGGACCTTTCTGCATGGCAGCTCTGGGATGGGGGCGCGGGCAGCCGCAGGCTGGCTTCCTTGGCATAGGATTCTATGGACCAGGATGAGGAGGGCCTTGCACTTGCTCTGCTGTGAAATTCTCAGGGTTTGTCTTTGAACCTGTGTTTTCTAGGTGAAGGCCATAGACACTGGAGCACACCTGTGAGCCAGTGCTGCCTTTGCTGGTGAAGCACAGAGGGATGAGCCCTTGTCTGTCCCACTCAAGGACTTCTTCCTTGCATTAGACAACCACGTATCTGAAATCCTGACTGAAGGAGAGCGAGGCCAGCCCTCAGGAAGCAGAGGGGAAGTGAAAATAGTCTCTGCTGTTCTGGAAACGATAAAATAGAGGCCTGTGCTCACTGCAAACTATGAATTGTGTCCTGTCCGTGACTCTGCACGAAAGCTGAATGCTCTTGTTTGCCTTTAACACTGGCAATCCACCATTAAAGACAAATAGCAAAGTCCACCTTAACTCAGTCATCTTGGATCTCCAAGAAAGATTGGTTCCAGAAACCACCAACCCCGGATACCAAAATCCCAGAATGCTCCAGGCTCTTATGGAGAATGATGTAGGATTTGCACAGAACCTGCACACTCCTCCAAGATACTTTAAATGCTCTCTAGATTATTTACTATGTCTAACACAATTGATACGATAGGAAAATACTTGTTATAATACTGTATTGTTTAGGGAATGATGACAAGGAAAAAAAGTTCATGCATGCTTAATACAGACAAAAAATGCTTTGATCGCAGGTGCTCTACCACTTGAGCCTTGCTCCCAGTCTTTTATGAGTTAGTTATTTTGGGATAGGATCTCTTTGACAGTTGTGTACACCACACCCAACTATTGCCGGAGAAGGGGTCTCAGGAACTTTTTGCCCCAGGTGGCCTCCAACCATGATCCTCCCTATCTCCACCTCCTGACCAGCTAGGATTATAGGCGTGAGCCACCCAGCCCAGCTCAGATGAAATTTTTAAAAATACATGTATTTTTGAAGTGCAATTGGTTGAACCCTCGGACCTGGAGGGCTGACTGTAACTTAAACTGATGACATGTCTTTACTTAAAATGGCACTAAGTAGTGAGTAGAAAGCAGCATAAGTCATGACACACAGCATGGAAAGAGGAAAAGCTTGATAGTTTTAGCTCCTTCCATGTCACCATCTTGCCATTTTTTAAAAAAAAGTGTGTGTTGTCAGCTTTATGTTACTGTGACAAAATGCCTGAGATAATCAGCTTATAAGGAGGAAAGGTTTATTTTGCCTCAGGATTTCAGAGATTTCAATCCATGGTCACTTGACCCTGTTGTCTTTTGGGCCTGTAACAAGCAACACATCATGGTGGTAGCATGTAGCTGAGGAAAGTGGCTCCCCTCATGGGGGACAAAAAATAAAGAAAGAGAGGAAGGGGCCAGGGTTTCATATCTCCTTCAAGGATACACAGTGACCTTCAGCAACCTCACTTCCTCTTACTAGGCTCTAGTTTCCATTAGCTGGGGACCAAGCCTTCAACACCTGAACTTTTGGGGGCAATTTAAGATTCAAACCATGCCAGGATGTTGCATTTTCATCTTGCACTGGTCCCTGAAAATTCCTCAGCCAGCTGTGAGCAGGCAGTGGTGCTGGCACAGGGATCTAATTGTTTTCCAGGAGTGCTCACAGCTCCTGTGCCTCCCGAGGCCCTCAGAGAAGCCCAAAGTCAGAGTGAACTATCCATGACTCTCTTTGCCTCCTGGGGCAGACATCCATCAGGGGGCTGCCCTGGAACAGAAGGAGGCCTCCCAACAAGGCATGACTGGTCCTCTCAGCTCAGGTGGGGCCCAGAGGGTCACTGGCCTGCCTCACAGGACAGGCAGAAGCACCATGAGATCAGTGTTGTGCAGATGGTTCAGAGAAACTGAGGAACATAGACAACGCCCCCAGGGCTTATTCTGCTGCCCCTGGCCCAGTGTGTGCCCCTTGGCCCTATTGTATAGCAGACTCATCCTCTGTCATTCAATGGTGTTCAGAAGAAGGCAGGTGGCCGACCCCAGCGGGCCTGAGGCCTGGGTTCATGAGCCCAGAGCCTAACCTTGGAGCCCTTCCCGGCCTCCCTCAGGGGCCATCGTGTGTAGGTGAGCCTCCATGTGGAGGACCTCAAGAGACATATATGTTTTCTGACATACTTGAGATAGACCCACAGAAGTATTTCCAGGACAAGGCAGTGAGGCTCCGTGGCAGGCCCACCACAACGAAAAATGAGAACAAGTCATTGGCCAGAAGTGACAGAGGGCTCCAAAGCTACACAGAGTCCTGGTCACTTGGACTGTCCCCAGCTCTTCCCTCATCCCAGCCCTGCGGTGGCAATACCTGATCTGACTTTGTGGAGGGTCACTTAGTAAAGAAGTCAACATTTGAAGGTCCCATTTCATCCTGCTGTCCCAAGGACTGGGGCTACTCCACCTTCCAGGCCAATCACCTTCTGCCTGGAATCACTTATAACCTCCAGGCAGGGCCCAAGCCTGGGTCACAGGCCCCCGGCAGAACCTAGGACAAGCTGGGCCCCTTGGTCAGGTGGAGTCCTGTCCAGGCTGGCTCATCCAGGTTCTAAATTGCTAAGGGTATCCTCCCCAGGACAGCCGCCGGGCTACCTTTCCTGGAAGGTGACTGTTCAAGGGCAGTAATGAAACAGTCCTGGGTTTGAATCCCAGTTCCTGCCACTTTCAAGCTCCGTGGTTTCAGGTGTTCATAGAGCATTTGGTACTCTGTAGATGACAGCTTGGGGGACTTTCTAACCAGATCAGCAGCAGCCAGGGGGCCCAGGTGACTCACCTATTGACCTGGCTGGAGCTCAGCAACAGTCCTTCCACTCTCTACAGTGTCCCCACTTAGATGACTAGTTAGATGGTCACCACACTTCGTGTCAGAAATTCTGGTGGGACAGAGCCAGACTGTCCCCTCCCTCTTCTACAGGAAACAGAGGGACAGGCACTCCATAAACACCACCCAGGAAAATGTGGGTGCTGCTGTTTCATCAGCAAACGGGGCAGAAGTGACTGCAGGAGGCTCTTTAAGAGGCCATTCAGTGAGGTGGGTGCATGGAGCCAGGCTGGAGTCCATACTTCCAGCCACACCAACCTTTGAGACAATCGGCACTGGGCCATTGTCTGGTGATATGACAGAAGTGCTGGGCACTGGGGACACGATGGCAATGGGGTTTCCTTTACAGGTACACATGAATGGGGTCGTCTTCAAAACCACATGGGGGTGGGGAGAAGGGGTGGGGTGGGAGTGGCCTCTTGTCAATGTCATGAAGCTACACTGGGGACTTCTCCAACCGGCTCGGCTGTCCCAGGATCAATGTGCTCCTCTTGGCCAGGCTGTTCAAGTGACTCATACCAGACCGTACTGGGTTCCCAGCAGAAGACAGGCTTCACAGGGAGAGGGTTTCTGTTGGCCATGCTGATGCACCCTCACTTCCTCCACGACAGAAAGGTGCCCAATACATTTCTGGGCTTGCAGTTTTGCATAATAAAACACAAGCATATACCAATGGTAGCAGAGACTTGCAGAGTCCCGTCCACTTCGTGCTGGCCTAGTGCCTGTGTGGAGAGGGTGGTCTGTTCCTCTGCCCCATTCTCCCATGCCCCCCACCCAACACTACCTGTGGTTCTGGTAGCTGCAGGCCTCTCCCTGCAGCCCAGGTGGAGTCACCATGAGAGCTCAGGTCCCCTAGCTCAGTGAGGTCACTGGCCTGGGACTGGATTCCTGGAAGGACAGCCCTTGCTGGGTAGCCATGACAATGTGCCCCATGCTGTCCTTTGGACAAAGCTGGGATACTGACACCAACTAAGCCGATCTTCATCAGACCAACCACCCTAACTTGACCCCAGTTAATCTCAGCACTGTCCCCTGGCTCTGAGGAGCTCTGCCCCAGGCCAGTGCTTCAGGTGGGTAGAGAGGAGCTCTGAAGTCTGGAATCCTCTGGCAAAGAGGGAACCCTACTTTCTGAGACCCATGTACCCCTCATGTACAGCCATGCATACCACTGCCGTGGTTACATGGAAGACACCTGCTGTGACCCCAGCCGCTCCCACATCCCAGGGTTCCAACGGCTTCACTTTAACCGCTCCTTCCTGAAAGAAGGGGTGCCTGCAGCACCCTAATGCTTCCTGGGGATCCCCTCGGCCCCTCCCAATCCCACACAGACTTCAAAGCTGCCGAGGCCCAGGGTCAAAGGTGGTGCTTTGTAATATCCCGCCTGACTCTGGGCTGGGGCGGGAAACCTGAGGGGTGTTGTGGATAGGGATTCTTGGGCAGCTTTCTGGCCTTCCTTGCTCACAAAGAGGATCTCACAATCTGGGTAGACATATGGGGCCTTTCCATAGTCACTGGCACAGTCCCTTGCAGCAGCACAGGGACCCAAACACCTGCAGGCTGTCAGGCTGCAGGCTCACTGGTATAGGGGCCTCTCAAAATCCCCACAAGCCTGGAAGGTGGGCCTGGGGTCAGTAACATTTGCAGTCTAAGCAATTTGCCAGGGTCACCTAGCTGGAAATGGGCAATTGAGACAGGTGTGCTCACAGGTCAGACCACCTCAGGGTCCACTCAATCCGACACTTGCCCCAGACCCTTGAAGCTATCAGTGGCCTCTGGACTTGTTTCCCAGTTGGAAGGCAGCCCTGCCAGGGCCACCCACTACCTCATTGCTGCTTGCTGGAAGCCCTTGACCCCACAAAGTGCCTGTACTGCTTTAGCACCTTTCAGTGGATGGATGGCCAGACTCAAATCTCATACCTGTTGGCCAGCCCTACAGAGAGGGTCAGGGAAGTGACCACAGGAGAGTGGTCCACACCTGGGAAATGGAGGTCAGACAGAAGGAAAGTCACTGTCGGTCACCACTGATAAACGGAATCTTCATAAAGTTCACCTTTGCTAAAATAGGCTGTCACCACACAGGCCAGCTGAGCAGTCATGCCCAAGCATCAGCCCTAGGTTGGGTGGGCTTCAGAGAAAGGGCGCCCAACAAGCACCCAGCCCCTCCACACCTTGGCCAGGTTGGAAAATTCCAGATAGGTAGGGAGTAAGACAATCTTTATTGTGCTCCAAGCCTAAAGATCCTTTGTACAAAAATAAGTCTTCATATTTGCAGCACAGTCTGTCTGGCAGTTCAAGTTAATGCGTAAAAAATAGATTTCTGCGTCCCTGTAAAATCCTCTCTCCCAGAGACATTGAGTGCCCCGCCGAAAAGGGTCCATGGTGGGGTCCGGCGGTGGCGCGTTTCCATATTGGCACTTGGTCAGTTTGGATCCCCGGCAGCGACAGCGGCACCCCCTCCCCTGTTCTTGGGCACCACGTGAGGCCAGGTGTACGGGAAGGCTCCCGGAATATGGGTGCGCTTGCCTGCCTGACTCTAGGCGTCCAGGGCTGTGGCTGCAGGGAAGACAGAACGCGTTAATGCGGGTCGGGCCCGGGGCAGACACCCGCCCCCCCACACCAGTCCCCACCTCCCAAAGCACAGCGGGCAGTTTCGTTTGCTTCATTGGTTTTGGAGTCTGAGCCCGTGGGTGCCTGGATTCGGTCTGAGGCCCCTGCGGGGCGGAGGCGGGGCGCACACTCCGAGCCGTGGTGACTCAGGGCTCAGCTCTAGCCGACTCATTCCTGCACCCCGGCCCGGGAGGCGATTTGCAATGCAAAGTCACCCCGCCTCCAGTACCTTACTCTGCCCTGGATCCGAGAGCACTGGAACCTCACCGGCCCGACGGCCGCTCCCCTCCCCTAGCTCCCCCTCCCCCACCGGCAGCGCAGCGGGGAGAGGAAGTTTTGCAATCCCGGACAAACAAACGCCGGTCTTGCTCAGGCTTGAAAAAGTTCAAGGAAAATGAAGAGTGAGCGAAATCGAAGCTGTCGCCAGGGCCTAGCTCTCCACTGAGCTGGGTCTCCTGGGCGCGACGTGACCAATCTGCCCACCGCCCCTTCCCTTCGACCCTCCCTCCTCCCTGAGGCCCCAGAATTACCTCGGGGGGCGAAGGCTCTCAGTAGCCCCCTAACCAGCTGGAGAAGTCGAGCAGCTCGCGCTCGGCAGGGCTCAGCTCACCCTCGCAGCCGCTGTCGTCCGATGAGTAGGCGGAGCGCGGGGAGCCCGGTTCCGAGCTGCCCCCGGGGCCCGGGGACGAAGAGGCACAGGAGGGCGAGGTGGCGGTGGGGGAGGTCGCAGGCAGCCCGCGAGCAGCAGAGGGCCGCGTGGCTGGTGCCAGCAGCCCCCCGGCCAGCGCGGCGCGCACGGCGTCGTGCTCGGCGAGCAGGCGCTGCAGCGCGCGGATGTACTCCACGGCCGAGCGCAGCGTCTCCACCTTGCTGAGCTTCTTGCTGGCGCCGCCGAGCGGCACGTGTTGCCGCAACGCCTGGAAGCCCAAGTTCACCAGCTTCACGCGGTTGCGCTCGCGCTCGTTGCGCCGTGCCACCGCCGCCGCGCCAACCCCCGCCTCCGTTGTGCCCGGTCGCCGCCGCCGGCTGCAGCGCAGCAGTTCCGGGGACGCGGGTCTCCGCCTGGCAGTGCAGGCGCCAGGGGCATCAGGCGAAGGGGGCATAAGTCGAGGCAAGGCGCCGCCGTCCATTGCGCCCGCATCCACCCGCCGGACGCCTTCTCCGAGTCCTGATGCTCCACAAGAAAGTGCGCACAAAGGAACTGGGGGGGGAGGGGGAAGAAGCGGACGGCCACCCTCCAAGAAGCCTGTGGCACTGCGTCGCAGGCCGTTTGGAGCTCAGGGACGGCGTGACGCGGAAGAGCGAGAGATGGCAGGCCGTGAGCGCCGGGAAGTGTGGGGCGCTCGTGTCCCGCGCGTGCGGCCAGAAGCTCCCGGGTTCTCCCCTTGCGCGGCGCAGGCGGCTCGTTTTTAAATGTATAGATAACCCTCCTCCGCGCCGCCGCTGCCGCCTCCTTTCTCACGCCCTCCTCCTTTCGCCTCGCCCTCCCGCCGAGCTTAGCCCTCCCCCTCGCGCACACGATCTGAAAAAGTCCTAATCGTGCGCGTGCCCCCCACCCCCGGGCGTGATCCGTAGATCACCGATGCACCCCCATGCTCCCAGCAGGTGCCTAGTGCTTCCCGCAAAGCGTTGTACGAAGGTCCCAGTGCGCAAACCCCGGCTGCTGGCTGCAGGTCCCCAACCTCCAGGTGCAATCAGGAGGTCCCGGGCGTCACCTTCTAGTACCTCACTTCACCCCCGCGCGCAGCAGGCAAGTCCCAAGGGCTGTCAGCGCACGCTGCGGGGGACAGGTGAGGCGCTCAAGACCCCCCAGGGCACCACGCGCCGCGCAGCGGGCACTCGAGCCCCGCCCTCCTGGGGCCGGGGGGGGCGGTGCCAGGGGGGGTCTCAGCCAATCCTTTGCCGCTCGTTTGGCCAATCGGGATGGGCGCGGCTCCACGCCCGGCCTCTTGGAGGCAGCGTACGCCAGGCGCGTGGCTATGGGGAGCGTCACTAACAAAGCTCAGAGCCTGATCCGCCCCACCCTGCTGCTCCCACCGTGACAGGGGTGTCCACGCTCCACCCGCGCACACCTGTGTCCCTTCGGGCGGGGCGGGACTGGAGGAGTGGTCGAGGCCCGGTTGATTGTGAGATTCCTGTTGGAGGGGGATGGGGGGGTATTTGTGCACTCCGGTCAATCTGCGCACACCCTCTGCCTTGTGGTGTCAGTGCGCCCTGGGCCTGGTGCAGATCGACGCCTTGTATCAGAAGGCCTGGAGGTCTGCACCCAGTCGCTTCAGACCCTGGAGAGAGTAGAGTCCCCTGTCCACCCGAGGTCCACTCCTTTTCCAGTGTCCCCCACCTCCACCGCATCCTGCCCTCTAGTTCCCGGTGGCTCCTCAGTCGGTGCCTCCTCTATCTGGCGCCTCGCTCGTCTTTTCGTTCCCTGGTTTTCTTCAGTGACATGCCTCATGACCTCAGTCACCAAGCCGATGGCCTCCCTGACCCATCCTTCCCCTGAGGGCAATGAGATGAGCCGGTAGGGGGCGGGTGAGGAGGCAGGGACTCAGAAATGCATAAAATGCAGTGTTGAAGCAAAAGCTTTGGTCCTGCCACACTGTCCGGGAACCGTGCCCTCAGGGCTATAGCCAGGCCAGTTTCCCCCAAAAGGGTTAGGTACTCCTGGGACAGGGCCTCTGGGAATGGAGTGGTGGGTCAGTTGGGCCCAGCTGTCTGGAGCTGCCTGCCCATACTGGTTGGGGTAGGGGAGGGCAGGGGCAGCCTGCGGCCCCTCCTCCAGGGAGCCCACTGGACAGAAAATATTTTCTGCCCCCCTAGTGGGCAACTTCTGGCTCCCATCACCCTGCAGGATCCTCCTGGGGTGGCCTGCTTGACCTTCCCACGTTAGGAAGCAGGACTGTGGAGTAGCACCTGCCAGATTGCCTGTTTAGGAAGAACAGAGGAAGCTTCCATGTACCCGTCTGCCAGGTGGAGCAATCCAGGTAGATAGGAGGGTCAAATCTGAATCCATGCTCCCTGAACTATGTATCTGCTCCCTTGTCAGAGGCCCCTGTCCTTCCCTGACCGTTGCTTTGCAAAGCCCAACCAGTGGTGGATCTCCTGTCCTCTGTCTCCTCCCCAGGTCAAGGCTGCAAGGCAAGGGGGCAGGAACAATCCCAGACAGCAAAACTTGGTGACTGGGCCTTGAAAGTCCTTGCTGCTTTGTTATTCTTCAGGGTTCTTGGTCCCTCTACTGGTGTGACCACAGCTTTGTTCACCTGGGAGGTGGGTTGGGAGCAGCAGCTATCCTGGCCATCCTCCTGGTCTTGGTTTCCACACCTGGGCTCCAGAATCTTGGGAGCAGAGACTCTTAAAGCCCCTTAAGACCCAGGACTTCGAAACTTCCAGTTGAAACTCACAACCCCTCCAGAGGTGGAGGCCTCTGTTTCTTTCCTTGCTGTCCACCTGCCATGGTCTACCTGCTCCTTGACTGCTTGCCCTGCCACCATCAGGTCAGAAACCCACCCCAATCAGCACCTCTTCTCACCTTCACCCTCTCCCCTATCCCGGTCCTCTCATCACTCCACAAATCCAATCTGTCCTCCCCAGCCTAAAGGCAATAGTTCCCTAGGGTCTGGTATCTCTTTCTCTCCCAGTGGTTCCTCCTCTTTGTTTCTTAGTCTCACACACAGCCTCTGTCCTCTGACTTCTGCCAACCTTTGACAGTGAGGTCTGAGTCTGAGTTCTCTCTTTTGAGACCTGCCCCCCCCCACTTCATCACGAGAGCTGCATCCTCAGTAAGCATGGCGACCACGTGAATATTTCGACATAGCCAAATGTTCATCAACAGATGAATGGATGGAATATTATTCAGCCATAAAAAGAGATGAAGCAATGATACACACTACAATATGGGTGAACCTCAAAAACATGATTCCGTGAACAAAGCCAGAAAAAGACTACATATTCCATTGCTCCACTTATAAGAAAGGCCCAAAACAGACAGACCCATAGAGACAGAAAGTAGATTGGTAGCTGTAGGGGATGGGGGTCAAGAATGAGGGAAATGGGAGGGGGAGTAGCTAATGGATACCAGGGTTTCCTTTTGATTAAGATGCTCTAAGGTGAACTGTGATGACGGTTGCACAGCTGTGACATTGAGTTGTGCACTGAATGGGTGGGTGGTTAGAAAACATAGTGTGTGTCCTGTCTGTGCCTTGGCACCCCTCCTCTGCCTGGCTCACATGCTCTTGGGCTCTGCCCCTTTCGAGTCTCCTTCCCTGACCTCTCAAGCAGGGGTAGCCAGCTTTTTCTGCAAAACACAGGGTAGCAAATATTTCATGCCTTGCAGGACTGTTATAGGCCTTTTGCTGCTGGGGAGAAAATGCCCCTGTGGACAACACAGAGATGACCAGGCCTGACCAGGCTCCAATACAACTTGAGTATGGACACTGAGATTTGAATTCCAGATTCTGTTTACATGTCACAAGATATTCTTTTGATATGTTTATTATGTATGACATAAAAGTTACCATGTTAACCCTAGTCAGGTACACAGCTCAGGGGCTCGGAGCGCCCCACCTTCTTCACCACTCATCTCCCTAAACTGAAACTCTGTCCCTAGTAAACCTGGGCTCCCCAGGCCTCTCCCCAGCCCCTAGCTCCCACAATCCTGCTTTCTTTCTCTTAAGAAACACAGAGCATTTCTCCTTCTAGATTGGCTTGTTCACAGAGCGTAATGTCCTCAAGTTTCATCTATGTTGTTGCAAGCGTTAGGATCGAACCCAGGGTCTTCCCCATACCAGGCAAGTGCTCTACCACTGAGCTACATTCCCAGTCTTCTAAAAAAGCTAATATTCCACCATGTGGCTATGCACTTTATCTCATCTGTTGATGGACACGTGGGTTGCTGCTGTTCCGTGCTGTTGTGGCTAGCACTGTCAGGATTATGGGTGTGCAGACGTCTCTTCCAGAACCTGCCTTCAGCTCACTTGGGTGTGGCCCGGGAGGGAACCCATGCTGGTCATGTGGCAGCTTTCCCACACAGCCGAACCACTCCATATTCCCGCCAGCAGTACGCAGAGTTACACTGTCTTGGGAGTTTCTGGATTTTAAAATAATACACAACTCTGATAATAGTTAATGGACATGGGTTTTGACCTTTTAACCACTTAAAGATTAAATAATCCCTGGATTTTGGGTAGCACAGAATCAAGTGGTAGTCCTGATTTGGGCCATGGTCTGCTACACCCTAAGGTAGTGAACTGGTATGTCCCTGTGAACATGGACTGCTGGTCCTCCCTGGCTCCTTAAACTCAACTCATGGCAAATTGAACTTGGCCTTCTTGAACTCAGCCCGCCTCCCACACCTGCAGGTCAGCTGTGTGGGGACTGCCCTCCTTCCCCTCGTCCTCTGACACTGAGGCTGGCCACTTCTCCAGCCGGTTGCTGTCTTGCCCGTCCATGGGTGCTTGGTCTTCTGCATCTGGGGGTCCATCTCCTCCCATCTGGGCATCATCTCCAAGCAGGGTAGGTCTGGCCAAACTCAGTCAGATTGGGTCTGGCCCTTGGGATTCAGTGCCAGCTCCTTTTCACACTGTACCCTGACAGCATCCCATCCATGTGGTCCCCTCTTTGGGCAGACGCTCAGCCAGCCCACCACTGAGTTCCCCAGTGTTGAGCCCATCATCGGGCTCTCATGGGGTCCAGGGCAGAAAGGGGACTTTTGAGGCTGTGCCCTGGATTCTGACCAAGTACACTCAGGAAGCAGCTGCCCCTGGCCTACTGGTAGAGGACAGGTGGCCCCTCTGCTGGTCATCTTTTCTCCCATGAGACAGAAGGCCATCAGAGCGTCAGACAGTGAGGAAAGTTGCCATCCGTTCAATAGGGCAGGTTTTCTAGGCGCAGTTCCGTGCGGGATGCAGTAAAAGTGGGAGAAAGCATCCAAGCGCAGTTGAGAACATGCAAATGCATCCAGGAATGGATTGCCTTCTAAATAACTCAGTTTGGAGAGAAGTCAAGTGGGGAATGATGGCGCCAAAGGTGGCCCTGAGAGAAAGGCCTGGGGAACCTGGCCCAAGCGATGCTAACCTGATGTGAATTCCTTAGAAACAAGGCAGAACGAATGTGAGAGAACAAAGCATGCAACTCAAGGCCACCAGGTGGAGAATGTAAAAAGAACAAGGTCTAATTAACGGTGATGAGGGGAAAAGTAGTGTAACACAACAGAATTAAGCTGTTAACTGTGTCATT